TTGGTGAACGGAAGTGTTTTTTTAAATACATATTTTAATAAGCGAGTTTGAGTTGTTTTCATAAAATGGTAATTAAAATACAACTGAATTAAATAAATGCTGCCGTTATAATTTCTACAGCTAATGAATATTATTTCTCTCTTATAAGATGAAAGTGCGCTTTATTTTGTGCGGTATTCTATTTGTGAGTGTTGCTTTGGCGCAAGATTTTGAGCCAGATCCTTTAGAACCCGAAATTGGGCCGTTAGAACCCGAAATTGGTTCTTTAGAACCCGAAGCAGTAACAACGAATGCACCAGAAAGGACCACTGAGGAAGCAACTGCGTCCGTTACTAGTGCGCCAACAACTGTCACGACGTTAGAAGTTACAACAGGCATCGCCACAACGACAAGTGGGGAGTCTACGACAACAATAACAATAACTGACAGACCAACAACTGCAACAGCTGAAGCGACAACAGAAAGTCCTACCACGACTACTACCCTGACAGCGGAGGAGCCAACAACAATAAGGACAACTACAGAAATCCCAGTCACTACTACTACCATGACTACGGAACAACCGACAATAACAACAACAACAACAACAGAAAAATTAGCTACCACTACCACCACGACAACAGAGGAGCCAACAATAACAACAACGACGACAACTGAAAGACCCACCTCTACAACTACTACGACAACAGAGACGCCGGCACCATCAACAACAACGACAACACAACGCTCCACTACATCAACTACACCCTCTATCCGGCCAATTATATGGAGACCAATAACAAGGAAACCAACAACAACTACTACCACTACCACAAAAGCACCCTGGCAAGGCTATCCATTTTATCCGAAACCAAGCACCACAACAGCACCCAAAACATCTACAACAACAAAACATCCAGGTTACCCACCATATCGACCGGCGAATCCTTGGGAGCCATATACACCCCAACAGCCGCAGAAGCCAACTTATCCGCAAACTTCGCAACAGAATCGTTGCTATTTTAAATCGCAACGTGGCTCACCATATTTGCAGTTGCGCTGCGGCGGTAAGTGGAAAATCATTTTTTTTTTGTTTTTTTATTTACAATCAAAAAGATGCATGCAGCCGTCAAGCGTAATGATTATTTTTGCCGCAAAAAAAATTGTTTGGAGTGCGATATGCTAAATATGGTTGTCTATGACGAAAGTAAGAGATACAGAAATATGAATCATTGGCGATTTTTCTGTATCTTTGAAATATTTATATGTATGTCAGTCGTGCTCAACAAAATTTCTACATTCTACATATGTATGTATGTACATACATATCGCCATCATCAAGGCACAAAAGCTTTAATATGCAATTTCTAAAATTTATAGGAAAAGCAAACAACTTTTCAAATTAACATTGCTTAAGGTGCATTTCTAAAGATTATACATACATATGTATGTATATAATTGATAATTTTTAAAAATATCTCCTTGAGTTTTGGTTTGGGTCCGCAAAAATTATGGGCAACCTAGGACGACCCGAGTTTTATTTATATTTTATGAAAGTAGCTGAAGTAGGAAAAGTGTACTATTCAAAAATATAAAAGTAGCCCTACCACCAAAATAATTTTTGCACAGATCTCGAACTTCTTTAAAGAAATAGCAAATATCGAAAATTAGTTTTTCAGGCGTTCAAACCTTTGAATGAAATGCCAGCAATGGCACTAGTTTTCTATAGTCCCATCTGCTTAAAGATAGTAATCGCGCGACTAAGTAGTGCAATGTGCTCCACTCCTTGCTAAATGAAATACAATAGACCAAAATTATGATGGCTGGAACGCAACTTATCTTAGACACTTTTTACACAGAATAGGCAACGCTATTGTTCAAGAATCTAGATAGATGATAAGCTTCATTCGTAAAAGAAACTTGCATCAAAAAGTTTTCGATTTGAATTTCTGTTCTCCGTGGTGTTTTAGGGAATTCAGGTTTTAACATAAAATTGGATTGGTTTCATAAAAAAAAATTTATTAAAGTATTGCTACAAATATTTCGGCTTAAAATCCTATGATTATGTATACATTTATTTTCCTACACTTACCTACATACACTTGTTTATTTGATGTTTATATTTTTTTATAAAAGTTTACCACTTTACCTAACCAAATAAATCCACATTTCAAACTTCGTACAAAAATTATGAAAATTAAACAAACTTTAACATTTGCACCCCAAAAAATTTTAAACATTTCATTCAGAATCTTTAGAAAAATGTGGGGTATGCAGTTTTGCAACTCATTAAATTTAAGATTTTCTAACGCCTTGAAATTTGCACTTTAGTCTTTGAAATTTAATGAGTTACAAAACTGCATACCCGAAATTTTTCTAAAACTCCGAATAAAAAGTTTAAAAATTTCGGGTGCAAATATTAAAGTTTGTTGAATTTTCGTAATTTTTGTACGAAGTTTGAAATGTGGATTTATGTGGGGCTGGATAGGTAAAGCGTTAGACTTTTATAAAAAAAAGTATAAACATTAAATAAACAAAAGAAAAATAGCCAAAACTAGTCAAAAAGTCACTTGACTTAATCAGCTGACCACAAGTGTATATTAAAATAGTATGCAAAAACTGAGTTTGCCACGAATTTAGTAATTTTCTCTTATTTTAAAATGCTTGGCCGGTATAAGGCTTCCTTTAGAAATTAAATATGTGTATTCCAGTACTGCCTTAGCGTGGTCCTTTAAGTCAAATGAACGACTCTTTTCAGTCTCACCCCTTCAATCGGTAACACCACTGTCATAGATTTCACATATAAATTTTTGATCCCCCATTGGAGGACGGTTAAGGCGTGAAGCAAAGGGGTAAAAGTTCAGATTAACGAAACAATTGCAAGGTGACACCTTTTCAATAGTGGTTTAAATTTTATTTACGCTGCATTTACACGTTCAAGAAATTGCTTTCAATCTGCTCACACATATCAGTTGTCAAAAACGATTTTTTTGAACATGTTAGCCTCAAGGAAATGTCAATTATGCCAATTTACAAAAATATTTGGTAAATGTAAAAATCAGTAATAAATCAGTACAAACTCTCAAAATCAGTAGATTTTGCGCACTGATTTCGGGTTCTTAAAAATCAGTACAGTAAAAAGTCAGCACATTTAATGATTAAATCAGTGCATCTGGGCACCCTAGTTCGGACGTTTCTTTTATTTATTTTTTTTGCGGAAAAATTTTAAGTTTAAGCATGCGTGGTAGCCACCTTTTCAGATGCACAAACTCTGAGATCGAAAAATTTGATTATTACCGCAGTAAAATACTTTCGTAAAGCTGTCCATAAACATGTGATACGTTCGAGTGAATTGTTCTTGCTGAACGTAATTCTTCATCGTGTACCTACGGCGTTGTTCGCGTACAAATCATATCAAATTGAAAAATTTCTAGTTTGTTTTTTTGATATGTTCGACGTTGTTCGCGATGTGTGAGGCATTATTGGCGAACATTTCCTCATTTCATCATGACTTTTTAATTTCAAGTTTTGAAGTAAGTAAATCGTGTATTTATCCGTTTTTGGTTGACTATTTCTCGGGTTCGCTCTTATACCACAAGAGGTTTAAAAATTATCAAGTAATCTTAATAAATTTAATAAATCACAACTCAACTGAAAACAATTAAAATTAATTGGGAATTCCTGAGATTGGTACGCAACTTGTCCCAATCTGACCTAATAGAACAATCAGCAAAATATATTTTTAATCATTATCAGCGTATTCCGCGAAGCTGAACAAAATTATCATTTACATACATACACATATATGTATGTAAGTGTAAAGGCTGGTTTTCACTATGTCATATTTTGACGCCAAGAATTTTTACATAACTTTACGGTAATATGGTTCAAAAACAGATCAGGTCAGATAGCCGATTCAGCAGCGCATGTGCGCGACTCAAGCCATATCCTCATCGAAATCAATCTACATATATATACTGCTATTTAATTCCATTTAAAAATGTGTATTCACTTATTTGATGAAAAAATTGAATTTGACATAGTGCGAATTTTATAGAAATGCCTTGAAATCTGCCTTAATTTAGCAATTCATATTAAATATATCATTTGAACAATTTAGTACTTGTTTATGGCCTTTAAATTCGCTTCTCTAAACGAGTTTTATTAATCTATTCCTTTTTTTCACCACAGGATGGCAGTACGTCTACCACGTGCAGTGCTACCGTTGTTGCATCTACAACGATGTCAGCTATGCCGGTTGCAACCAAGTACATAGCTCCCACTGCCAACAGCAGCAGCAACAAAAACCACAACAACAACACAGTTATAATACATACACCAATTATTGGTATAGCATTTAATGGGCCGTACAGCTGGACATGCGCATGATCTAATATATCCCAGCAAAAACTTTCGATTCTTTGGTAAGCGCTTACTTTTTGTATCAATGGAGGAATGCATTACAATTTACCTCAAGACAAAATTTGTCACTTTCTTGTTTACCCACTGCATTACAGGCAATGCCGGGGGAAAGCATTTTTACATTTTCTCGCTTACCGCCAATGACATGTCCAGGTTAAAGTAATGTGTTCTGTAAACTAGAAGGTTTGTGGTGAGTTTCGAAAAGTGCTTCCCAGTCGAGATTCACCACTTACCTGTAATGCAGTGGGTAAACGAGAAAATGAAAATGTTTGACTTGAGGCGAATTGTAATGCCTTACTCCATCGATACAAAAAGTAACCGCTTACCAAAAACAGAAAAGTTTTTACTGGGCTGCTTGCAACGATGCATACACATTAGGGTGGTCCAAAAATGCATGTTAAAAAGTAAAGTCGGAATTTTAATGCTCTCACCGCCTAAGATTGTGCTATACCGAAAAGAATATACCCCTCTTTTTTTAATTAAAAAATATTTAGAGGTCTCTCGAAGTTTTCCATATAATTTATATGGGAAAAAACGACCTTTCGTAGAAATGGTTTAGAATTCTTGAAAATCAATATTTTTCGATCGGTAAAACTCTATTCCTCTTTAGGAGATTCCCAATAATATTACCCAATTATTTATTTAACCGCCAAAATCCCCAGAAAATGCAATGGGGGAAGAAATAAAAAATCGTTAGTATTAAAAAATCATTGTACAAACAATTTGGTATTATTATTGGAAGTCTCACGTAGAGGAGCAGAGCTTTCCCGATCGAAAAATATTGATTTTCAAAAAGTCTATACCATTTCTACGAAAAGTCGTTTTTTCCAATATAAAATACATGGATAGCTTTGAGCGTTTTGAGCGACCTCTAAACATTTTTTGATTTCAAAATAAAAAAGTAGGGGTATATTTTTTCCATATAGAGAGCATTAAAATTCCGACTTTACTTGTTTTGGACCACTCTAATATACATACTTATTTACATATTTATGTGTAGAAGTGACTGCAGAATGTGGTGAATTGGAAACACGTGGAACCTACTTATAAAAGCATACTTACGAATCGACAATGTTGCGCTTTTCTACATTTTATTAAGTATTTTAAATGTGTATATTTTACAAATATTATAAACGATATTGCGCAGTTTTTTAATGCCTAATGTTTTTCTTGCCTGTTTGTAAATAAATTTCGAAATAAATGCGACTATTAATTAGCTGGGGAAAAACATTTTAATAAGTGTGTAGATATTGAATTTCAACTAATCCATAACGCAATTACTAATTGCTGCGAAACCATTTCGAATTTCATGACCAATGACAAACAATTAGCTACATAACTATACATACACATATACATATGTAGGTATTTATTTTGTGCGCATGAATTAATTCAAATTATAGAAATTACCCAAGTGCAGGAAGCAATCCTTTGTGTGCTGTTGACATTGACAAAAATCGGGGAAGGGCGGAGCCAACACCTCGTACATAATGCGTAGTAGGTCAATGAATTTATTCAACGCCTTCGCGTAATCGCCCGCATCATAGAGACGCTTGGCAGTGCGTGTCATCAATTCGGTATCCTAAAAATGCGTTGCAGCAGCAAGTCAATTAAAATCACATCTGCGATACTTATTAAGCAAAGCAAAAGCTTTATTTATGCCCACCTGCATCACTTTGAGGCCCTTCAAGATGTTCGTGCTCTCGCCGCAAGTCACGCATTTGATCATGAAATCGTTGCACGTCGCCGGCACTTCAATAATTGCCCTGCACTGTTTGGGGCCGTCGCAGCGGAAGCGTATGACATCGGTTGGCAGCTGATCGAAGGTGGGCCAATTTTCCAAGCACGGGTCGCATGTACAATCGAACCAGTAGAGTTTTTTAAGTTCAGCTTGACGCTTTTCGCGCCCCTCCTGCGTATAAATGGGACCATAATTCTCTGCAATTTGTAGACCAGCTTCGATGGGGCGTATGGTGTTCACGTGTATAGTGGTGCCGCGAAAGTATCTGCAAGAGGGAAAGCAAAAAATAAAAAAATAAAAAATTTGACCACACGGCAATCACCTCACTACACCCGGATCGCAGGAGTGATTGAAGAGCGCCAATGTCGGATAGAGTCCACCACCAATGAATACCGTCTTCTCATTGCTATCTGCCTTCTTCGCATGCAATTCGGCCACTTCGTGCGTATTAAATTGTACGAATTGCAAAGTGCGCAAAAGTATGCCGCCAATAGTCTCCAGATCTTCAGCTTTGGGCGATGCACCAAAGTAACCAGCTTCTGCGAGACATTTTGTTAGAAAGCGGGCCATCAGTGCATGTTGAAAAAAGTTCGATGGTGGACGTGTTTTTTCATGACGCTCCAAATGGGATACTCGTCTGTAGTCATCGGTGGGCAGTCTGTAGAGGAAAAATGCTGTTTAAAAATCCAAAATGCATAATATTCTAATGGACTGTACGCTAATGAAATCAAACGTAGTGCAGTGCTCTTCACCAGAAGGTTTTATGAAAGTTTCACGTTGAACAAAATACTGTTCAAAGCCTTAGCAGCATTCTGTTAATATAAACCGGTCTCTGTCTTGGGTAAGACGTGGGGCCTGTCACTCTTTGATCAGACCTGTTATCTATTAGGCATCCGTGGTGTGGTGGAGCAGACTTTCAGTCAATAGCATGGGAAATCTGTTTACCTATGCTTAAAGAACGATCGCCCAATTCTGTACGGGAGCATGCCGTCATTGTCTTTGACCGCGAAGAGGCCGGGCTTAAAAGAAAAGGGTGGTGATATAATACAGTGTGGAGTGAGGCGGAATTCGCTTGAGGCAGAGGTATTTTCAGTGCCACCATTTTCTGTGAAGGAAATTTTTTTTCACAATATTGATCTCTCTGAAGCGAAGTGCTGGCTTAGCCCAAATACTGAGCCCGAGCTCACACATTATACCAATGGCTCCAAAATTGACACAGGGTCAGGACTTGGAGCCTTTTTCACGCGGCACGGACAGTCTTTATTGCCTCTATTGGCGAATATGTCACTGAATTCACAGGCAATATACTTGCAATTCTCCAGGCCATGGATTGTGTGGATAGCCAAGCTGCATTTGATAAAATTGCCTCTTATTAGCTTCTAGTTCGACAATCTTAATATCGAATAAATTGTGCTGAAAAATATGACCATCTTTAGAAATACCTGGTCATGGGACATCTGAACATTTGGCTGGACAGGGGTCAGGCCAGCTATTTTTGATCCAAAACCAATTATATTAAAACAAGGAAATGGCAAATTTGAGCGATAAGTAACGGAGTTTCTTGATCGACTTTCGATAAGTTGCATTAACACAATTGTGCCAAAAATCGGGCCAGTACCCACCTCAGTCATCGATGTAAATACTTTGGATTTATTTCTTTCAAATCCGTTCGGTTACAGCAAAGTGATTGGATTTCCTGCCAGTACCTGTGCTATTTAGTAGAAGACCAGCTGCCTTCTCTGCAGTATAAATCTTAGCTAGGAAGAGGTTGCAGAGGTTTGGCAAGTCTTCTTTGAGCAATCAGTGTAGATGGATATACCATCACCTGCCACTGGTAGGCCTATGACCAATTTTTCTCTGATCAGAAATTCTATAGATAGCCTTGTATTGAAGACCCACCCCAGCGTAAAGTAAAGTAATCACAGCTGGCTTCAGGAGCGAACGCTGGTAGGGGTTTTGGGGGTTCAAACCCCTCCCGAAATGCCTGCTAAAAATTTTAAGAAATTTCTCTCTTTGTATTTAGTTAATTACGTAAACAAAAGCAATACTGTTTTTATTTCCGTAAAAGTTTGTACGAATTTTCAACTATTCGCAAAAATCTGCAAATAAAGAACAAACCGAGGTGAATGAGCACAAGCTTGGAAGCATAACCGGACTAAATATTGATGTTGATAGATAACTAATACGCCATGACATTTTAACGATATACATTTGCGACCCCGCGCCCGCACTCACAGACACCATGCCTGTATGTAATTGACTTATACTTGCAACAATGCACTTTCAACATAGGCTGGAATAACTTTAAGACCATAAGAATTGGCAGGCAAACTTGAATTCACCTATATATATAAATGTGAATGTCTGTTTGCTTATTACCTTATAACTTCTGAACCGCGGAACGGAATCGCCCGAAACTTTGCACACTTATTTGCTTTTTCCCCGGGAAGGTTATAGGCATAGAGAAAAATGGGCTGTGCTGGAAAAGAGGCCGTGGCACCTCCTATACTTACTAAAATTTTCATATTGTATATCTCTTGAAATATTTGTGGTAGAGCATTGGAACTTGCTGTCGAGATAAATAAAATTAATTCCATACTCATGGGAAAAAATTGGCGGTATTGGAAAAGGTGGCGTGGCACCGCCAATAGACCTGCAAATGTTTAATCAGCTAAAACTTCGGAACCATAAGTCGAAAGAATTTGCAATTTGGTGCGAAGACATGTCTACGGGAGGCGCTTATTGTAAGGTATATATAAAAGAGAGCGTGGCACATGAACTTGAAATTTGGTATGCAAACATATCTATGGTAGGTGCTTATAGTAAGGTATATATAAATTAGTTTGTAAAAGGGGG